TCTGGTGGCGTCATCTGTGTAAAGAGGTCTGAAGTCGAAGCAGGGAAAGTTAGAGGATAGGCTCTGTGGATAAATCTGCAGCAAGTTACTTTGAAGGTAAGAGATACCGACGAGGGTGAAGTGGAAAAGAGTCTTGTGTGGGTGGAAAAGTTGGAATAATACAGGAAAAATAGGATAAGGGGCAGTGTTATATCAGAGTAATGGAAAATTAATGAAAGCTTAGTAAAGTAATTTATTTTTAACAATTTTTCAATTTAATAGCTATTTCAGTAAACTGTTAAATGTTAAGTTTATTTAATTATATATATATATATATAAATTATTACTTTTATTTAACAAATTACACTAGTAAGAATTTAGAATGTACGATGAGAAGAAGTTTAACGTTTAAAGAGTGACAGTTTACTTGAATAGCTATTACATTGAATAGTTGTTGAGAATGAATTGCCTCGCGGAGCTTTAATTAGTCTCTTGTTACCTGAGATAATGCTAGTCATTTTAGAAACCAGATGCAAGATACACGAAATATTTATAGAGAGTTTACTTTTTCTTTAAACTATAATAACTCGAGTCTATAATGAGATTATAAAGCCTTCATACACGTATAAAAATGTACAAAGTTGATAACAATGCTGTACATTCATAACACTTAATTTATACAAATTGCATGAAATTACAATGAAAGTTTAAAGTTTCGAGACTGATTTACCGACCCTGATGAAAGTCGATAGTTCGGTAGCGCACTCTGTATTCAGAAAGAACGACTGTAAACACCGCGTCCAACTGAATAAGCCAAATTGATAAAGGTAATTACGAAAAAATTACTTTGATTGTTAGAAATTTCAAATGGTTATTCCAATGATTCTTGAAGAAATAAATTATCATGCATCACTCTGTGCCAACCGAAGCATATTTATCTATTATTACTTTATTATTTATCTATGGAAACGTTTCGAATTACAGTACAAAACAGTATCTTGCCTAGCCTTTAAATAATTCAGCCTGACGTAATAAAATGTACACTGATCACGACTCCAAGGAGGAAAGGGTTCCATTAGATGAAGTGCTACAGGGTTGCACACCCTTTGCTCTTTTTGGTGTCTTCCTCGCCACGTGACGTAGTCAGGGGAAGTACTGTCAAGGGTGGCCCAGTGCGCGAAATGCGGGTTAATGGGCCACGGGTGTCGCGACCTCGAGCGTCTACATCGCATTGGAATTACCCGCTCGACCCCCCCCCCCCTGCTCGTCATCGTAAGTTATCATTCTAATAATTATTTATCTTAAAGATTGTTCGTTGCTCGAATGTTAAGGATAGCTAGTAAACTGAATGTCCACTAGGAGTCATACGACTAATAGTCTTGACTTACGACTACTAACAACTAACAACTAATGACTAGTCTTCAAGACACTTTTTCCAATTGAATGCAAAAATATTACACATGATACTAAATTAAATAATGCACGAAACAATTATAATATCATTTATGTACACAAAAGTTTGAAAACTTTTTTGTCATTAGACTGATCGTGGTAGGTTTAGCGTTAATATCACGCGTTATTTGTGTATATATTTTGCAATTAAACGTTTTCGAGTTCAAACTATTAAAAAATACTGTACATATCTGACTTTTAATTCTCGGCAGAGTATCCCACGGAAATAAACGATTCTTTGGCGAACGAGCAATTCGATTTTACGCCGAGGAACACTCGAACTCCATCGTAATTAGCTTTCAGTTCGAAACAGCAACCGCCCCCACGTTCTTACCTCCGTGGAAAGGAAATGTCCGCCGTCTCGAAGTAAAACAATTCGGGTCGCTTTAATTCGCTCGCTCCCGCTGACTTCCGGAGGGGGTTGCTCCTAGAGACAATGGCCGTTTCGTCGTCTTTATTTCGCCTTATCCCGGACCGTTCTCTTTATCCTTCCAACCGAACGTACCGCGAGCGAGCCCCCATTCGTGGCTGTACTCCCATCGATTCCACGGGAGGAGTTTCCGTTTTCGCGGAGTTCCGCGGGTGCTCTCCACAAAGGGACCGTCCGGAGAATCCAGTCGCCAGAAACGGTACCCGTGGCAACACTGGCCTCATTTCCTGGACAAAGACGGCAGTTTTGCCAGTAGTTTGTCCCCGCCTCCTGGATTCCACCGCGGCATCCTCCGGAGAATTCTGAGACCGCCGTATCCGATGCTCGCGTCACGAATATTACACGCTTCCACGAGCGGGACATAGCCGACGTTCGTCCGGGAGTAGGTTAAAGGGGTAGAGTAGGTGATTTCGGGACTTATTTGAACGTTTTTGGTAAAATAGCTCGCTATGACTTCATTTTACATTTTTATGGGGTTACATTCGTTTCCTTTCGGCATCACGCAAGTTTTAAATGCGGCGCGATGTTGATTCCCGCCGATTGCGAAATGTTTGATTGTACTTTCGGTCATGTAGGGGGAGCGGACAGCGTTCTCTAAGTCTTGTATTTTCTTTCCTTCGGCGTATTTTATTTTGTATCTATTGAATCCTGTATTTTTTTCCTTTTGTTATAACATGCGTGTTATATGTATTATTAATTTGCAGACAAAGAATATGTTTTTCCTTTTTGTATATTACTTTATGTTTGAGTATTTAATAAGTGTGTATTCCAAACATAACCTTATCAACAATTTTATCTGTTTTGGTAACGGGTTTCAATTATAGCCGGATCATCTGGTTTCAAAGGAGTTACAAGTAGATTGCGGATTTTATGCATTTATGATGTATAGTGTACATAATGTACATAATGTATGTTGACATGGAACAGCACAGGGTTAATATAATAATATTGTTTTTTCGTTTTGCATAAGTGTACGTAACTTTTGATTTTATTTAGCACGTATGTATTACATTAGCTTGTGTCATAAATGCATACAGTTTTTAGTTAGAAGTTTCTTTCAAAGAAAATATGTATTCGTACGTCTTTATCATCGAACGTAACTAATTGGAAGAGATACCAAACAATTCGCCATTCACACACACACACACACACACACACACACACACACACACACACACAC